GAGCTGCCCGTGGGTTAGCCACAGACATCTCCCGCCTTCTGATTGGTCGGTTCACACGAACACTCCACCTTTTCTACACTCCTCTCCTAGGATTGGACGTTTTTCCATATGTCCCGATTCCTGATTACAGGCCCGCCTCTTTTCTTTGATTGGTCCAATAGTTTAGGTCCCTGCCCCTTCCCTCTCTACCTCCTAATTGGCCAGTTCTTAGGCCCCAAGGCCTCTTGCACGATCCAAATGGACAAGTCGGTTCACACGAACACTCCACCTTTTCTACACTCCTCTCCTAGGATTGGACGTTTTTCCATATGTCCCGATTCCTGATTACAGGCCCGCCTCTTTTCTTTGATTGGTCCAATAGTTTAGGTCCCTGCCCCTTCCCTCTCTACCTCCTAATTGGCCAGTTCTTAGGCCCCAAGGCCTCTTGCACGATCCAAATGGACAACTGCTTAATGCCCCGCCCCCTCACATTCTAAGCAGATAGGCCAGCACCGTCGTAGTCACGCCCCGTCCATTCTTCTCGGATAGGCTTAGCTAACAAGGCTCCACCCCTCCCTCCATTTCGTACCTGATTGGTCAAGCCTCTCAGCAAGCCCTCTATTGTGTAAGGCTCCCCCATCGCAGTTTCAACCGTCCATCCAGCCGCCCATTGGCTCCTTCCAGCGGAACAATCCAATCAAAGAGCCGCAAGGCTAAGGAGGCGGGGACAAGGCTGCGGGGGCCAGGTGTTGGACCCTAACAATGCAGAGAGGGTGCAAAGAGCAGGAAATTCCAAAGGGCAGGGAGGGGTGCCAGTGGGGGACAAGGCTCAGGGGAGCGTGCAAGGGGCTGGAAGGGGTGCAAAGAGCAGGGAATGGTGCAAAGGGCAGGGAGGGGTGCCAGTGGGGGACAAGGCTCAGGGGAGCGTGCAAGGGGCTGGAAGGGGTGCAAAGAGCAGGGAATGGTGCAAAGGGCAAGGAGGTGGCTCAAGGGGTGCATTCGAGGGATGCAAGGTGGGGACAGTCTGCAAGAGGTAGGGAGGGGAGAAGGAAGATGCGAGGCCCAGGTGGCTGGATGCAGTGTGGGCTAGAGCTGCAAACGTGTGCAGTGTAACGCTGATGATTTCACAGAACAAAAGGTCACTAGAAAAAAATGAGCTACTCCACCCTTTTTTAAAAGACCATCACAAGACTCACATGGGGTGGCTTGTACGTGATGTTTTGCAAGGCCTATTATTCCCTAGGTATAGATCAGTAACTCCCCCTATCTTGTGCACTACTAGCACTTACCCTTCAAGGCTTTGGGGTTTTTTTAAGATTGGTTGTCTAGGCTGCTCCTCGCTGCCCCATGCAGATATGCCAGTACCACTTGCTTCACGCTTATGGGCACAAAGTCAGACCCACTGTGGGGAGGGGCTGCACCAAACACTTCTGTCACAATAATGGAAAGATGAATTGTACTTGAAAAGGCGCATACAGTAGAACAGGACACGATAGGCATGGAGACAGCTTCAACTTGGTAAACAACTAGGATACACTGATGCTGCCAGATCAGGCTCACAAGAAACCAGCTGTTACTGGGGGTTTGCAACTTGGCCCTAAAGAATTCATCAGGAATGAGCCCTGGCATATAAATGGGAGTAGTTTGACCATTTAATCTGACAACATATCAATAAAATATAGATTGCTGTACATGTTCTACTTAGCTTCTTGTAAATCAAGCGGTGTCCTATCATATCACTTCACGTATAAAGGAAATACACAGCCTTTACATGATAAGAAGTGACTGGCAGGCCTTATCTTGCATATAGTAATCAGACAATCAGGCTAACATTTGTCTCACTGACCATAAACTCCGTAACTGTAAATGAGGAACATTATGTTTCAGATCCATTTTAAAATAGCAATCAGAAAATGGAACTGTAAAGAGCAACCACAAAAAGTAGCATTCACTTAAAGCAGCAGAGAAATGGATGTGCCTCTGTTCTTTTCGAAGTGCAGGGGGCACCTACAACTGCCAAAGGTCAATCTCCTTTGCCCAAACACCAGGGAAGAGCATGTTTGATGTTGCTGCAAACAGCTAAAGTTCCATTAAGTTAAATATTGTTTAAAACAAATACCTATCTACGAGAAAGCTTAATACACCTGATTTTTCTTTCCTGCTTGCTGTCCTCTACTATTCCTCCTAATTTGATCTTTGTGTCTGGGTTTTTTTCAGGACCTGTACTGTCTGCAGACTAATTTTGCTATTCTATGTATTTCAAATATTCGCCTTCCCCTGAGACTCCTGCTAACCCCAAAATATTCTCTCTTCTAATTGGGCCTCTCTCCCCCTCACATAGTCTTAGGGGTCTTTTCCCCCTGTGTATCCCACACAGCCTGTGGTAATCTCCTCTTCATTTCTGCTTCCCGAGAGCACTGAGTCTACCTAACCTCTGAGAGGGTGATTGTGTTTCAGAGGGTGCCCAAATTTGCATGTTTTCTTCCAGCTGCTAATGCTTCTACGCTTTCAATAACTCGGTCTCCAGGATGCCAAGGCAACATTAGAATGCTCAGTATTATTCTGCTAGACAGTAGGAAAATACATTCCCTGTGGAGATTTCCCACAGTGACAGAAGGCATAGTAAGCCATTTTCTCTTATGAAAAATAAACCATGTCTTCCAAGCCTTTCAAGTTTTCCTAAGGCCATTGTCAGGTTAGGCTACATCTCTAAATACATGACTAGTAGTGTCAGGGAATACAATGTTAATTGCAGATGGATTCCTGAAACATCTGGAATTAAGCTATTCTATATATCCATGGAAGGGACTACTGGAGTTGTTTGTCCTAGCTCCTACCCCAATGAGACATGCAGGATGATGATATTCCAGAAGCAGCATCACATGATCTTAATGCACAGAGAAGATAAGTTTGTGCTTGGCTAGGAGCTTTTGTTTCTGCACTGGTATGGTGTCCCTCAGGCAGCTTCCAGGTTTAGATGAGCGGGTGCAGAATTCATCTTCCTGCCCCCAGGGTAAAATCAGGACATGCTGTTCTAGGACAACCAGGCATTTGTTTGTGGCCAATTTTCAATCAGTTAAGGATTTAAAGGAGTACTACTCTGTACCACATCCTGCTGACTTGACATAGTACAGGCAACCAGAAGGAATTTATGTGAGACCAGCAAAAAGGAGGCCTTTGCCTGGCTTCCCCCATGTTGTGCTAAACAAGATTTACAGTTGCATAAAGGCTTGGAATAAAGATGCTGCCCTTGCCTCTATGCTACTTTAATCTATGCTTGTCATAGGCCCAGCAAAAAACTGGAATCCTGCCTAAGATTAAGAATCTGGCATGAGCTTTTAACAGAACATCTTCATCTCAACTGTGCTTATTTTAAGATGAGGGAATATAGTGACCCCCAGGTAAACCAGGAACTCCCACAAGGGAGAAAATTACAAGACCCAGCCCACATTAGGCTATCTTAGACATTTAGATTTCTACAAATTTTAGGTGCCCTATGTGACCCAAAGAGCCCCGTCTCTGCAGGATTTGAAGGTAGAAACCCTGAGGGTGATGTAACATTCCAGTCCTCTCTCCTGCCACCTCCATAAAAGAAAGCCAACAAGTCTTGATTTTACATGCTCAAGAATATACTGCAGAACCTGACAACACACATGCAGCATTGCTCATAAAAGGGCAGGTTCTTTTACAAGTGCTCAACACGTAAGGTTTTTTCCCATCTTTGGTAATGTAAAGAAATTTGAGGGTATTTTGGCTTGTCCACTCCAAACTTCAGGGATACCACTGAAAAATCAATATAAACTGAACACCTGAAATTTATTTATGCTTTCGGGGAAAAAAAATTTCATCTAGTGACTGGCACATCTTCCTCAATCTTCTTGTGTCATGAGCTTTACTCCCTGCTTTAAACAGGTTCTGGCCATCCCTTAATTGATTTCGCCTGCCCAATTTCAGATGGTAACAATCCCCAAGGTAGGGTTCAGATGGTGCTTGGCCCATATGTTTTCTAACTGCCTGGCATGTTAGCATTCTGCTAGTTTTATATGCACTGAATAAATCATAATGCCATTCTAGGTCATTGCAGGGTTGCACATGTGACTTTAATCTGGATTGTTCCCTCTGTCAGATTAGTGGTAGAAAGGAAAATATAAAATCATGTTTTGCTTGTCAATGGTCATTGGGCTACAAGAAAAGCTGTGATAAAATGTGAAAGCAAGAGCAGTGGAAGGGCTTTAGGAAACCATCTCCACTACCATGGCATGAATACTGAGCTTGATTAAAAAGAGAGAAAAAAAAAAAACAGGTCATCTAAGGCAAAGGCTATTTGCTAGTCATGTCTCAGGGTATGTCTACACAGCAATATTATTTTGGAATAACAGACGTTATTCCGAAATAACTATGTGAGCATCTACACATCTAGCTTGTTATTTTGAAATAAATTCAAAATAACAGGTGTCTTATTCCGACTTCTGTAAACCTCATTCCACGAGGAATAACACTCTTCCGAAAAAGCTATTGCAGAATAGCAGTACTGTGGATGCTCCACTGCTGCTATTTCAAAATAGCTCCTCCCACAGGCTATTCAAAATAATTACTCCCCAGTGTTTCCTCAGGCTCTAAATCGAGGTAATGTGTCCACATTAGGGGAGCCTACCTCGGACTAATTTCCAGGCTTCCCTGTAGTGTAGACACGCTATTTCAATATAAGCTATTTCAGAGTATTTCTTCTGGAATAGCTTATTCTGAAATAATCGTGCAATGAAGACATAGCTTCAGAGGTTAAAAGATACATGAATGCAAGAGATAACAGGAGAGTTTTCAAACTTTTGATCAGAAGTTCCTAAAACCTCAGTTCACCAAATACTGGTCATTTAGGCTCAGATGTGGTAGTTCAGAAACAACAGTCTGGTCTGACAAATAGACTGGAGAGAGGAGATGGAGAACAATAGACAGTATGATTAATATTTTTCAGTGGAAGACAAACGCTGCTTATTGAACTAGGAAGAGCTAAAATACATGCAGTACTTTTTAAATGCGTAAGTACTTGCTGTAGTTGCGACAGGGATGTTATGCAGTCAGGAATGGGAGGAGAGGAGAAGAGAGGTGGTCTACATGACTGCAGATAGCAGCAGAGATGTCCAGTAGGCACTTTAGGTCTAACTGGCATGTGGTCTATACTAGGAACAATTTTGGCCACCACTTGAAGCCACATGGCATGTGCTGCCACCTGCTGGTAGGTAAGTGTGAAATGGTCTCAGAAGGATAGCCAAGTTAGTCCATAATTTTAAAAACAAGTAGTCCGGTGGCACCTTAGGCTGTGTCTACACTGCAAGGTTTTTGCGCAAAAATATCCATTTTTGCACAAAAACCTGTGCAGTGTCCATACCTCAAATGCGCTTTTGTACAAGTAAATCAGCAGTAAAACAGAGGGCTTTTGCATAACTCCCTTTTGCACTACAGCTATTGTGCAAAAAAGCAAGTGTGGGGAAAAAGCACAGGTGCTCTGATGGCCATTCACAGACTGGTTATCAGAGATTTCTTGTGCAAGAGCGTCCATGCAGTGTGGATGCTCTCTTGAGCAAAAGCACATCACTTTTGCAATGCGCTTTGAGGTGTGGATGTGCTCTTGTGCAAGAAGTTTTTGCGCAAAAACTCTAGCACAAAAGGCTTCTTGTGTAAGAAGCCTGCAGTGTAGACGTAGCCTTAGAGGCTAATAAAATATATAGCTCATCTGATGAAGTCAGTTTTACCCACAAAAGCTCATGATACTCCAATACATCTGTTAATCTATAAGGAGCCACAGGACTCCTTGTGGCTTTTGCAGATCCAGACTAACATGGCTATCCCTCTGATACATATTTTTGTTAGTCTTTAGGGTGCCACAGGACCACTCATGTGTGAAATGGTACATCAGACAGTGGTTTTCTTTATGTGTGAACGGGGTCATCCATAACAAGCCTCTGAATATGACCCCCTTATAAATTAAAAAGTGGGAGAATGGTTAACCTATTGTTAACCCCACAGAGCTGGCAGCTCACAACACCCCCAAAATTACCTTACAACCCCCAGTTTGGGAACCCCTGAAATAAACCAAAGCATTTGAAAGAGGTTGTTTATAAAAATAATCTAGATGCATAGTAAATAATGAAGGCTGAGCACATTAAATGTTTTGCCTCTGGGTCTTCAATATAACCCAAATTTACCCCCAAACTTTGTTCAGAAAAGAATCAGCCTGAAGAAAAATTTTATGTTAAGAAATCTGTAAACATAAATATGAAAACCAAGGATTATTCAAAAACATGTTAAATTTTTCCAAGCCAAACAGCTGATAAACTCTCTGCAATCTTGTGACACTATGCTATGCTATCCTGCTTGGTAACTTCATGACCACATTGATTATTAACTAGTAAGGGAAGGGTTACGAGAAAAGTAAGGTTGGGGAGGCAGATCTTAAATTAGAAAAAAAAATTCTCTGTCAACAACCAGGCACAATGTAAGAACGTCTCAGGGAGCTATGCTGTCTATGAACACACATTCAAAATTATCCTGTTTCTGTTTTAAACCCTAAACCATATTTATCCTCAGAGTGATTTATTCCTCTGACAGGCAAATAATTGCCCAGACACAGCAACAGCAGCCTCTTTTCTGGCGCTTTATTCCTGAGCAACGCCAGCATATTTTAACTATGTGGTGGGAGTAAATATATACTGGTTTTTATTGTAACGGACAATATTTAGTTATTTTTTAAAACTCAGAAGAAATGAAAAATAATACATCTAACAGGAAAGTCCTGACAGGGAACAAAAGAGGCCTGAACACATTCAAACCCCCATATTTCCAGAAAGCTCATTTTTATCCTCTCTCTTCCTAGGAGGCAGCAAGCGTTTCTGAGCTCTCATAAATAAGGTGATTTTGGTTTACGGTGAGAAGCTAAGATACCAGCACACACAAGTCACAGCAGGACAAGGAAATGTTAACCATTCGTGCTCCAGAGGTCATTCTTCACAGGTAACAAGACTAGACATCAGGCAATAAAATCCAAAGGTCTGTTGAATCCACCTTTTCTGTTCATGTACTGCCTGTGATGAGGGGAAAGAAATCAGCATCATTAGAATCTAATTGTCTGTACTTGTGAGGAGCTTTAGTGGCTCCAATCTACTCATATGGGATTGGTGGTTTTTATGCTGGTGGAAATCCAGCACAAGATAGCTCGGACAGAAAGCTGCTGCCACTCTACAACAACGTACCAGTGTCTTGTCTGACACGAGCAGGATGTTTGAGAATTACCAACAGGACTGGCACTAACTGGCATTTTTAATTGAAGTCCAGCAAGGAAATCATGGTTAAACGAGCCATGGAGAACTCACCCAATCACTGGAGCTGGTCACCAAGGTCAGGTCTATACCAGCAAACCCTCCAAGTCAAGATGGAGCTTATATTAGCCAAAAAGGGCCTTTGCTGGTACAGCTTCTTCCATTCTAGCAAACTGAATAACCTCTCCCGACACAGGCATTTTTATACCAGTAGAACTGCATCTGCACTAGGGCTGTTGCCAGTTCAGAAATGTTGGTAAAAAATCGACAGCACACCCTGCACCACACTGGCAAAAGATTCGCCTGCAAACCTGGTTTACGTCAGGCTGAGGCACAGTGGTTTGGAAGCACACTATGCTGCTATTGTTCAATAGCTAAAGGATTTCAGTCCCCAGGGCAATCAATACAGTATATTTCATAGCTGCTAAAGGTTGAGCTTAGAGACACAGGGGTGTAAAAAATAGTAGGTAGGCTAAATTTTTCCAGAAATTACAAGAAACAGAGGGAGAAAATTCCCAGGACTGCAGTGATATTCTATGGCGCTCTAGCCAAGTCTCTCCAGACTTCCCTAGTCCAGCAACATCACTGGGCATGAGCGGCCTGAGGCCAGTTGCAGCAGCTGGTGCCCTAGGCGGGGCGACGCAATCGGTGCCTCTGCCTGCACGGCCATCAATAGCCATGATGTCATCACAAGGTGCCCCGTGACATCACCATCAGGCACCTGGGCCAGCAGTGCCCTAGGCAGCTGCCTAGCTCGCCTAGGCTCACGGGCCGCCCCTGCCCCTGGGTCAGCACTGTCATTGATTGTGGATGCACTTAGGCTGAGCACTCACAGGGGGGAAACCAACAGACTGGGGCCTGGAGCAGAGGGGCTGGCATTGACCTCCCCTGGTCTGGGACTTAGCAGATCCTGAGGGTGCCGGACCAGGGAGGTTCAACTTGTATTTACAATGCATTTAACGCCACAGACATATGTAACTTTGTGCAGAGCTAACAGGGACTCTCTCCATCAGCAATGGAGATTTAGATAAACCAGAGGGAAGAAACAGATCCATTCGGCGTTACTGTTATAAAAATGCTTAGATGTAAAATCCACTAGCACTCCTCAACACAAGCGAGTCTGACCTCTCAGTCAATAAAACCTAGAGACCGCCATACTTCTCCCCAGGACTACAAAAACTTCTCTGGATCAGATTGTCCTGGAAAAGAAATTACATCTCCTCCAACAGACCCAGCTACGCATCAGATAGTTCAACAAGTCTTTCCAAGTGGTAGAAACACAAACCTGTACTTTCTCTTCTGTGACACATTTATAGCGTAGGCATTTACAGAGCCATCCACTTTCTTCCCCTGAAAGATACAATGAGAAACTCAATATGTTGTAGAGAGAATTGTTTAGGAAGAGGCACAGAAGCACAAGGGCACAGGTTGTGCAGCTGAGATCCATACGTCATTCTCAAGAAAGCGAACTTGAAATCAGAGACAAGGTGGTTGAGGAAATGTCTTTTATGGGACAATGTCTGCTGGTGAGAGACAAGATTATCAGTGCACCAGACAAGAAGAGGATTGTGTAAGGTCCAAAGTTTGTATCTCTCACCAATAGAAGCTAGTCCAATAAGGGACATTTTCTCACCCAACTTGCCTCTGTAATATCATGGGACCGACATGGCTATGACAACATTGCGTGTAAGTTGAAACCAATCAGTAGCAACTTACTAGATCTTTGCTAGGTTAGCGTTAGCGTTACAACACAGGTGAAGAGAATTAACAAAGGTTCAAAAGCAATTAGCAACAGTCCTAATCACTTTCCTACAGTCACATCGCAAACCTCAACACTAGCTCCTATCCGTATCCACAGGGTTCCATAAAGAACAATGGCAACATACAGTTTTGTCCAACCAAGGCAAGGATAGGAGACACTGTTGAAATCTGTTTTTATACATTGTAACCAGGCCCTCCCAGGGTTCTTAATAGACGGTATCTTAGTACGCATCGGGATGGGTTGTGGACAGAGCTCGTGTCTGACTCTGGAGACCCGGGCTCAATTTCTGGCTCAGCTGCAGGCTCCCTGTGTGACTCTGGGCAAGTCATTTCATTTAATCTCTGCGTGCCACGTGTGTGTTCAGTAAGGTAAGATAATGCCTCCCTACTTTCCAGGGGGATTCTGAGGGGCAAGTAATGGATGACAAGGTGTTCAGACACTGTAGTGTGAGTGGCGTATAGATAGACTTAATAGTTACAATTCAATTTAGTACCAATAAGAACAGCCATACTGGGTCAGAAACAACAGTCCATCCAGCCCAGTATCCTGTCTGCCGGCAGCGGCCAATACCAGATGTTCCAGAAGGAGGGAACACAGTAGGTAATCCTCACGTGATCCCTCCCATCACCCACCTCCAGAGAAACTAGGGAAACTATTCCTACAGATCCTGGCTAATAGCCATTGATGGACCTAACTTCCATGAATCTATCTAGCTCTTTTTTAACCCTGTTAAAGTCCTAGCCTTCACCACACTTTCTGGCAAGGAATTCCAGAGACTGACTGCGTGTTGAGTGAAGAAAATCATCCTTTCGTTCGTTTTAAACTTGCTGCCTACTACTTTCACTTGGTCACCCCTAGTTTTTACATTGTAGGAATAAGTAAATAACTTTTCCACACCAGTCATGATTTTATAGACCTCTATCATATCCCTCCTTAGTCTTCTCTTTTCTAAGCTGAAAAATCCAAGTCTTTTTAATTTCTCTTCACATGGGACCCGTTCCAAACACCTCATCATTTCTGTTGCCTTCTTCTGAACCTTTTCCAATGCCAATATATCTTTTTTGAGAGTAGTAAACATTATGATCAGTATTGAGTGTTTGCAGGATCATGCCCTTAGGGGTTATGTCTATACTTGCACCCTCTTTTGAGAGAGGGATACAAATGCACCTGAGCAAAATTGCAAATGAAGTGTGGACTTGAATTTCCCATGCTTCATTTGCATAATTGCATCCGGGCGCTATTTTTAAAAAGTGCCATTTCGAAAAAAGAAACGCTGTCTAGACATGGTTATTTTGAAAGAAAACCCTTCTTCCAAAATAACTGGTAAACCTCGTTGTAGGAGGAATAAGGGTTATTTCGAAGAAGAGTTTTCTTTCGAAATAACCACATCTAGACAGCGTTTCTTTTTTTGAAATAGCGCTATTTCGAAATAGCGCCCTGACGTGATTATGCAAATAAAGCACATGAAATTGAAATCCCGGCTTCATTTGCAATTTCGAACGTCTACATTTGCAAACCTCTCTCAAAAGAGGGTGCAAGTGTAGACATACCCAGAGAGAAGTACAGAGTCATGTTAAAGGAGAAGGCATTTCCATGCTGATCCAAGCTCTGAAACGGCAACTCCATACTGTGGGGCTACATCTACACTGCAGGCTTTTTGTGCAAGAATGGTTGTTCTTGCGCAAAAACTTGCAGAGAGTCTACACTGCACACACATTCTTGTGCAAATAAATTTACAGTACAGCGTCGGAAAACAGGGCTTCTTCCAGAAGAGTTATTCCTCTCCCCACGAGGAATAAGCCCTCTTGCGCAAGAGCTCTTCCACAAGAAGGCAGTATAGGCAGGCAACATGAATTTCTTGCGCAAGAAATCCCTATGGCTAAAATGGCCATCAGAGCTTTCTTGCGCAAGAGAACGTCCACACTGCTATGGACGCTCTTGCGCAAAAGCACATCTCTTGAGCAAAAGCACATGGCAGTATGGACGCACTCTCGTGGCAGACCTTTTGCACAAGAACGCTTCCATAAAACAGCTCTTGCGCAAGAAGCCTGCAGCGTAGACATAACCTGGGGCTGCAGCTAGGAGCTAGCTAATCAAAAGCAGCAGAAGCAACAAGAAAATAAAATCAATACAACTACATTTTTCCACAGTAAAAACTAATTCAGGAAACCTTGCTCCTAGGAAACCCAAAGGGTTTAACATCTTACCTGAAGTGCCACTAGAAGTACAGTGCCACAGTGGGGTATTCCAGATCCAGGACTCCCTCCAGCCCAGCCCTGACTTGGCCTCATTTTATTTGTGCTGTGAGCCCATGAGCCCGTACAAGAAAATGCTGTGGAGCTGCCCATCGTGACCACGATGTTGAAGTCCCATGCTAATGCTATATTATAAGCTTAACATCGGCTCTCCATCATGATTCTTATCGACAATACTCGTCTGATGCAATGTTTCAACACACTGATGAGTTATTTCTTCTAACTTACTGATAAATTCCAAAGCTTGGACACAGACCTTGTAGCACTGAGTGATTTAATGTTACAGGGAAACAGCAAACCTTCCTCCATCCTCTTGTAAAGGATCTTCCTAAAACTTACTGACAACGCTTGGCTACACTCAAGAATGAATTGTGAACATGACCAGGAAAAAGGCAAGGACTTTTTACTCAAGTTCTATGCAACAGTCCACTCACTTTTGTTGTGTCAAAGGTTGCAAATCCCATTGTTTTCATCATCTCAATTTCCTCCTCTGTTTTACCTTCCATATCCTCTTCTGAAAATACAAAAAGAGAGATATGAAATGTATACACCAGGAAAAGTTACCAGGCACTTGATGGAAACTCATTGAACACGCTAATTAGGAAGGTAGGTACTGTATGTACTGCAAAACACAGCTCTGGAACAGAAAACTGGTCGAGTTGTTAGAGGAACAATGCAAGGTCAGATCTGGCTCCAAAATGGAGATTTCACAGATGGTTGTTTTTAATAAAAACATTCCCAAGTTTACCTACCTTCAAATGCCAAGGAAAACAATATTTTAAGCAAACAAAAGATTTCCCTGCATTTGCCATCCAAATATTGTGCTAGTGCAGAACTGAGCAAAGAGAATGACATGAAGAGCACAAGGAAACAGATTATTTTTTAAAATTCTTATTCAGGCATTAATTACACAGTACCACGTGTGCACAGTTCTTTACTGAAGAATATGAAGTCAGGCAACCAAGCTTGACAGAGATACCTAACTAGAAGCATACGGTGACAAATGATTAAAGTGAGATATGGAAGACAACAAAAAACGGAAGGGGAAACTCCTCTGGGGAGACACCGTGGTTTCAATTTCCTTTACATACACACTTGAGATATTTACGAAGTTTTGTTTTTAAAAAAGACATTGCAGATAACAGAGGAAAGTGAACTGCTTTGTTAGGAAAGTAGGTAAGAGTCATCCCGTCCCCCTGCTGTATGGCAAAACTTCCACTGACTTCAGTTTTACCCATTACTTTTACAGGAATCTTTAAAAACTGAGAGCTGGTAACCTGGAAAGCTAGGTTCCATTTGTGTGAGCACTTTGGCTGACCGGCACAATATCAGGCAAACCATGACTACTCTGTATTTCAGTTCCCCCACCACACACACTTTATAGATGAGGAAAAATCCTTACCTCATCCATGCGTATGCTGCCTAACTCATTAATAGTGATAGAAACGTAGCCGTGTTAGTCTGGTGTAGCTGAACCAAAAAACAGGACTATGTAGCACTTTAAAGACTAACAAGATGGTTTATATATAACTCACTTGGTTAGGTCCAATATCTGCTGATACCATTATTGGACCTAACTAAGTGAGTTATAAGATCAAGAACACATATTCCTGCGCATCCAGAAATATAATTTATGCAATCATGTGCCAAAAGTGTCCGTCTGCTATGTACATTGGACAAACATCTCAGACACTTCGCCAAAGGATCAATGCCCACAAAACAGATATTAGACAGGATCACAAAGAAAAAACAGTTTCTTGCCATTTCAACCAGAAAGGACATTGTCTCAATGACTTGATTACCTGCATCCTGCTTCAAAGGCCTTTTAAGACTACACTTGAAAGAGAATCCTCTGAACTGTCATTCATGCTTAAATTCGACACTTTACACTTAAGTTTGAATAAAGACTTTAATTATCTTACCCAATTACAAAGATAGCTTCCCCAATTATCACCTCTAATATCATTAGCTCACAGACATTTATCTCCCCCCCATCCCCGTTCTGTTCTGAAATTTGATTTGTCCTTGTCATGTGTTCATTTTTTAATTGTATCCTTTTGTATATATGGTTGTGACAATTTTCTTCCACTATTTGATCTGAGGAAGTGGGTCTGGCCCATGAAAGCTCATCACCTATTAAAGACTAACAAGATGGTTTAAAGTGCTGCATAGTCCTGTTTTTAATTCGTTAATGTTTGTAAAGTGCTTAGAGATCCTCTTACTGACACTGTCAGGCCCTAGATCAGATCTGTAAGGGCTGGCTGACTCTTGGCCCTAGATGGAATCCTACTGCAGTTACCAGGCCTCCACAAAGCTGCAAATCTTGCTCCTGAAAAACTAACTGCAGAAATACTGGAGGTGCCAGACTGAATCAGACCCAGGGTTCTGGCTCTTGTCTGAAAGTGCCAGTGCTCCCTGGAAGCTGAGCTTTTGGGAGGCTGCCCAGAAGAGATTCAAATGCCACCCAGCTGAACCCAGCACCCATCGCCAGCAGCAAGTGTTTCTACTAGGGATGATAAAAAGCAGTTAATTAGGTAACGGTGTAACTGTTGAAAATCTTAGCAGTTATTTGGTTACATGCTGCAGGCTCAGCAATATAAAGCTTACACTTCAGAGCCTGCGGCGGGGTCAGCAGCCAGTGAATACTGGGAGCCGGTGCCTGGCCCGACTCCTGGGAACCAGCTGCGCTGTGGACTCCGCAGTATAAGCTTATATTGCAGAGCAACAGCCAGCTTCCTGGGAGACGGTGTTTGCTGGAAGCCAGCTTTTAAATAGGCTTCTGGCACATACTGGCTCCTGCATGCTGGCCCCATTCCCAAGGAGCCAACTGGTGCCCTGAGCTGCTGCCTCTGATACAGAGGCAGAACTGGCTCCCTGGGAGCTGATGAGTGATGGGAGGTGGCTCCCGGTCCCACTCACAGAGAGCTGGCTGCTGCCCCATGCTGCGGAATCCAATACAGAGGCAACAGCATGGGGTGGGCAGCCAGCTCCCAGGAGCAGGGCTGGGAGCCGGCGTGTAACGTTACGGTAATCGGTAAGCTCATGCTTATCAGTTAACTGTTTAAACGGTTACACTATTACATGCCTCAGTGCACATAAAATGTATTCCACACGTAGATGAAAAAAAAGTTAGAATATTAGTCAGGCCACAAACCCCATAATACACAGCATGAGATGATCTGCTGCACATGAAGGTCACATCCTAACTCCTACTAGTTAGTGACTAAAGCACGAAGTTTCGTTGCTCTTCCAGAAGGGTTTTTATGCATTAATTATAATTAAGCACATGGAATGGGGTGTAGGAGGGCAAAGAATTATTAAAGGGGGTTGCATGGAATCAGGGATGGGGAGCACTCACAGATGGAAAAGGAGAATAGAGGTAAAATTTGAGTAGCACCTGCCTTTAGTAACCCTCGCTAGGTATGTGAATGACTAGTCGACTATCCGATAAGCAAATGCCCCCTGCTGACCCCATGCTCTCAGCAGCACTGGGGCTGTTGCTACACTTCAAAGGTGGAAGCGCACCTTTGACTATTTGATTAGTCAATTGCATTGACTATCTGATTAGCCAAATAATCAAAATTTTACATGCCTAATCCTCACTCATGCAGTTGCCCTCACTTTTATGGGCATCTACTCCATTTACCAATTTAAGTCCAGTAGATTTTAACTGGTTCTTTATACAACAAGGTAAGAAACACCAAGTCCCAAGAGCCAACTTTGTTCCTCAAGGTTGGGACTTTGCTTTGTTACCAGTGATCTGACGTTCTTTGCTTTTGGTGTCTTTGCTGTCTTTCTTTTCATCCTCTCGTCTTTCCTTCTGCCGGGTTGGGGAAGAAGAGCTGGATCTGTGCCGTCTTGGAGACCTAGAATTTCACACAAGTGTAGATTTCAATCCAACAACAGTTAACGTTGTCATAAGTGCTGGAGGTTGAATCTACAACATATGCTCAATTGCAATCCCACTTACAGCTTTATATGTAGCATCAAGGAAGTAGATCAATAGTTATGTGGTGTTACAATGACTGCCATGGGCTTAGTGTTTTCTTGTGCGCCCCCTCTGCCTGCATCTGTTGACTTATCTTATCCTTAAATTATAAACTCTTTGAGGGTAGGGACAATATTTTTGTTCTGCGTTTGTACAGCACGTAATACAATGGAGCCCTGACCCATGATTAGTGACTCCAAGTGCTACTGACCTGCAAACAAACAAAACAAGGGGGGTATAATTTCATCACATTTGCCCTAATTAACTAAAGGATAAAAGTAATATATTAGTAAAGAGTTCCTTAACAGTGAGATCTGACTGTGGATTTGCATTTTCTTCCCCTCAGCATGTTCAAAAAACTCATTTCTCACACCACAATAAGCTAGTACTCAGTTACCCTGTTGAGATCACAGTAAGACTGACACCAATATGAACAGTGGGGGAATAGGCAGTCAGCTAGAAGCTCTGTCTGTTGCCTTCAGAGAATTCAGATATTTTCCCCTCACCTGGACCGCCTCCTGTGGGGGGAACGGGAACGACTCCTCCTCCTGTCCCTCTCCCGGGACCTTGAACGCTCTCGTCGCCTCCTCTCCCTCTCCCTTGATGCAGAACGAGAGCGCCTACGTTCTGAAATGGGCAAGAGGGGATGCTGCTTAGTGTTGGCTAGTTGGAACTGCCTTTGCCTTTGCCATAGGTTCGGTGAATGCTTATCTTTATAAGAGGGTATCAACTATGACTAAACTAAAAAGAAGTGGATTGTGCCCAAGAAAGATCATGATACTATCTACATTTTGGTTAGTCTCTAAGGTGCTGCAGGATCATATGTTGGTTTCTAAAGTTTTTTCAATTACAGACTAACACAGCTACCCCTCTGAGACTTAAAAAAAACCAGGAAGGGAATGTTTTTTCCACCCACTAAATCTCAAGATATGGCCAGAGGTAAAGAAGATTGCCCTGAGAACAAGGAGAGCAGAGAGGGAAAGATGAGGGGTACAGGTCAGTAGTTGCTGCAAAGGTCGGACTTCAACTTTTCAAAGTGGTATAAAAGAAAGTGAACACAGTTAAGGGTCCGTTACTAAAAAAGAAATAGGGACCATCCCTCTTAACAGACAAGGCCCTGGTCAGCGAGCCACAGACTGGATTGAATTCAAGGCCTGGCTGATTTCTATTCCTTCTTTTGCAGTGCATCTCCCCTCTACACTTGTATCAGGGTAGGCATCAGAAATCCCCACTACTGGAGGGAGAAGCACCCCGCTTGCTATCTCCAAGTAGGCAAGCAGGTTTCCCCTTTGCTGGTTATCTGGCCTCATCATGGGGTCTTTCCCGATCGCTGCAGAGCAACCTTTAACCCCACCCCAATATCAGGAGAGCCCTGCCTCCTGGCGAACATTACACACCCTCTCCCCGAACAGTGATCAGAGCCCGGATCCGTTCTCTGGGTGAGAGGGGTAACAGGAGACGCCCCCACCCCGGCAAGGATTTGTGGCCCGTCTCTCCTCTCAGGGTGGGAGGGGAAGGCGGCTTCTATCTGCTCCCCCTGCACCTGCCTGGGGAAGGGATCTGGGGCCCCCCCTTCGCTGCTGGC